CTTCCCAGTTGCCCCACCGATCTCGCACCATAAGTGTTCGATTGCTCCACAGTCAGCCGAGGTGAGATCTTCTCTGACGCGAACGCAAATGGCAAATCGGGCAAATCTGTTTTCGAACAGCTATTGAATCCATTCAGGTAAGGCGATCGTGCCAACGCTTATTCTGCCTTTGCGCAGAATAAGCGTTAATGAAGCATGATCGCGTGATGCGGCTTAAGATACAGTAACTAGGCGTCAGAGTTCTGGAAATATCTATTATCTCATACGATGCCAAAAATCTAGCCGTATTTGGCATGCGACAAGAAGAGATGGAGACGGAGATGAAAATTCATGACTTTTCTGGCATCCTTTCAAGGCAGAAGAAGTGGAGAAGGGCTGAATTTCTCCACGAGAGGCATCTCATTAGGGTCAATGAAGTCACTTTCTGATGGGCTGTGATGGGAATCCTGTTCATGCCTCACTTGTCCCCCATCCTTTTCCTTACTTCATTACGATCTTCTATCTGAATCGGTTCTATGAAGATATTCCTGTTCATATGACAGACGACCACAGGGAAATGAGATGAGCTTCCAGTTACACGGATGCAATGCAAGTCCCTTCGCGTCTTAGTCCCTCACTGTTTAACATGAGCCTTGGGGCAGGGAGGGGGGGGAATCTCCTCGTCCGCCCAGGTCGTGTCTCTCTTACATGATTGATTGAAACACCACTGAGACTATCAAAACAACTTTATTTCATTATCAAGCATTTTTTGCGACAAATCACCGTACTACATCGTTACGAAACTTGAGGCGAGGGTGACCTCAGCATGTACTCTAACTTTCCAAGTCCAATTGAAGTACTCACTCGGGTATGACCATGGGATCACAAGAACAGATAGAGCAGAGCACATGACGGAAAAAGAGACCATGAGCGATGAGGGAATTTTTGTACAGATATGACTCACAAGGCTCAGGCCTCGGTTTCTTTCCCTGGCGATGAAGGCGACTTCTCTGTTATGATTCTGGAAACGTAAAATTGGTTTACGGTAGAATTTTGGCATCGCCCGTTTCGTTGTGAGAGGCGTGAAACGCTTAACAGAGATCTCATACTCACGGGCCGATACTGTTGACATAGGGACCCGATGGCTGGTTTCTCTGCCTTCTGATTTGGATCACGAGGCAGATACCCAGAATGGCAATGGGAATGAGAACGGCCAACACGATCCCGGATGTGATCCCGGCTTGCCTCGCGTAAAATTCATCCTCGGCTAAAACAGAAACATAGGAAATATGGATTAAATATTCATCTTTTAAAGTTTTTTTTTAAGGGAGTCCCACTCCAGTGGTGATTTTTTCTGTAAGTCGAATTTACATAGAAGGCATTTAAAATTTTCTCATCCATATCTCCTGTGTAACTGTGCCGGGGACACGCAGAGAAGTCGCTCTTCATCGTACCAACGTATAAAAAAAAAATCAGTCGGTGCACGTATAAAAAAAAAAAGAAGAAATAAATCACCACTTGAGAGGCAGAAATCCCTTTTCACTCAGTTCGTGAAGAATGGGTTGAATCCCCCTCGTCGTAGTCATAAAATTCAGCATTCAATTTATTGGGCAAAGGTTCCCCGGTGTAATAGGCGCCTCCGCGAAAGCGCGGTTCCACCGTCGTCCTTGGATTGGCTGAATCGGGAGAGGAAGTCGGCCGGGAGTGGTCGGACTGAGAGCTCGGCGGGGATGGATCGGATCTCGGCGAATGAGAGAACGCCGGGGTGGAAAAGGCGACAGGCGGTGGCGCCTTCATGAACCTCTCCCGTTCACCCATTCCTTCAACTCTCTCGCGTCTCCTCTTTCTGATGGTGAGGAGGAAGCAGACGGCAAGGACTACGATGGGCACGATCACTGCCAGCACTATCCCTGACGTGATCCCTGCCTGTCGTGCGTAGAACTCGTCCTCCGCTACAATCAACATTTTCATCAATTCCCTCGATACCCTCGTCTTCCTTCTCGGATGGTATCGGTTAAACTTGATTTTTATCTCTGGTTCGGTGAGAATTTATGAAGGCCTACATTTGGTCAGCAAATTCAAGTGGACGACAAGAAATGCGTGAGCTCCTGCATGCTCAGAGGATTTTTAGTCATCCGGACGGATGACTAAAACTTTGATTAGCCAGGCCCAATTAGTATATTCCATGAACGAAGATTATCGTCTGACAGAAGATTCTAAATCGGTAATTAGGGGGAGGGGGGGGGGGAACTCGGAACCGTAGGAAGGTGACTTACGCATGCAGTAGGATCGGCCTTCTTCTGGGTGACTCCATTCTCCGGTGGCATAGCACCATCGTCTCCTCTCCCCCGTCAAGATGAAACCAGGATCGCAGTCGAATTTCACTTCCGTTCCGACAGTGAAGGCAAATGTGCTCTTCCGCCCGTGTTTCGGGATAGGCAATGCACCACACGATGTCACTGCAAAAAAGTTGACTCTTTTTAAAACTTTCTGTAATGTATTTTCACAAATTTCGGTGCTTCAAAAGTCTCATCTCTCAACAAATTTTGCAGGCAGGTCGCTCCGCTATTGAGTTCACTTGACAAAATTTCCTGTCATTCCAGCTTGAACAGTTCATCGTTAGCATCGTTAAAAAAAATTATATCATCTTGTGAATTCTTCAGTACTTCTTCGGGCTTACCCTTGCGAAGACCATATTTCTTGATGTTGACGAATTCATCCTGATAGTGTTTGCTCCACTTGGCAAACTCTCTGTCCATGGTCACGGCATAGTCAAAGTAGCATTGATAGGATTCTCCGCAGAACTTTCGCACTTCCGAAGGGGTCAAGGTCCTGTAAAAGCCCAGCATTTCATCAATCCATCCATCGAACAGTCCGTTCTGAGTGCATTCCAGGCAGGAACTTACACGTTGGTCGGGATTTCCGGTTCGATATCCATTTCCGGCAAGAACGTTTCGTCAAAGTAGAAATTGGAGCTCTTCCCATGTTCGTGGTAGAAGAGGGATTTTCCTTTGTATGGATCCTCTTTATCGTCCAATATCCCTACGGCATGGAGAAAACGATAGTATTTGCACTTTATACGTTAGAAAGCAAAGTTGATTCCGGGAAATATCTTCATACATTTCATGCCGAATGCGTTGTGAATCCTGTCTAGATTGCTCATGTCCATGCTGAGGTAGTTGTTGGGATCATCTTCGGGAAGCTGGAAGTCGTCCTCCATGTTGAAACTCCAATTTCCAAATAGACCTCTGGTCTGATTCTGCAACATCAGACACGACCCAACAAGTACTCGTCAGTCCCCGAATCTCGCTGGAAGTGCTCGTTTCCATGATGAATTAGACGTGGGGAAACGAGCTCGCAAAAAAGGATCTTGTCAGCCTGCTTTCATGAACAACCGGCATGTTTCTATTCCCTTTCTTCCAATTCTCATTCCGAATGTCCATCGTCACCCATTGTGATTTTGAAAGGTCATCGCACGAGCAGCAATATTATTTCTTTAACCTTTTTTTTTGTACTGCACTTTGTTTTACCTCATTATCCCATATTTACCCAAGAGACAGTTCCGGTTGATGAAGTAGCTACGTTCGTTCTTCGCAATTACGGTTAGGACACTTTGAGACTCCCTGGTACAGGCACATAGGTAGCAAACTAGCAATTAGATAGAAAGATGCAATGACTTGTTCTTCGCTGGAAAATCCTAGGCGATGAGCCGTTAGATGCTAGAAAAATACCAGTTGGATAAAGAGAATAGAGATGCGGTTGTGAATTGGGACACTCTTACCCCCCCCACAAAGTTTTTCGAATTTCCGTTCGTTCATGGGAGCAAATGAGTCTAGGAAAATGGCAACAATCTAAGGCGTGGAGCTCCGTTTCTTCCAATCCGTCACAGGATGACCACATGGATCAAAAGCATTTCATAGCATCCATTTCTCCTTACCTGGACCAACTGACCTATTTCCTTTTATTTACGTGATCTGTTCATCCTGAAATGCAAGGCTACGGAAGGACAGACTTTCCATGAACGGCTGGCGTTTAACTATTTCTACCTTTCATTTTTATTATTTCCTCGCATCAGCACTTAAAGATCGTTGTGTAACTGTCGGTTCAGGGTATTTCCGGCATCGTAACTGAAATTCAAAGTCCTTTGGCTCTTCCATAGAAAACAGATATACTATTATGGGCTAAGAGGCCGAGTACCTTCACCGTTTGAATAGTGTTATCTGCTGAAGATCTGCATTTAAACGACCTCGATTCCATGCACTCCATTACCCTAAACCCATTACTGGCGACACGAAGCAATCTTCTCACGAACCGAATAATCAATTTAAAAGAACTCATAGCATCATTCTTTGCAATACGATGGACCCAATCGATCCGGAGGAAGGGACCTCCTCTCGCATCTACCAGTTGACGACTCGGTACCGATCGCACACCCGATATCTGCCTAAGAGCTGATGACCCCGAGGAAAGCGATCGGACGTACAATGAAGGAGAGAGGGAGATAGACTCTGGCGGTAAGATATCCTCGATTTTCGACCACTTCGATGCCGGCCCCGGACTGGAACATCACCACCACGTGGCTCTGGTTCAGGATGTTCGTCGGTACGTACACCGTCACTCCTGCGAACATCTCATTTCGTCACGTCTCGTTCGGAAAAAGGGCTACCGTAGATGCGGAGAGAGCGGGAGAGTACCTTTGAAGGCCTGGATCTTCTGCGGGTATCGGTCGAAGTAGAAGAATCGGTGGTCCACGATCACGTCCAATCGGTATCTCCATTGTCCCTCTTTCGGGCGAAGTCTCACTTCTACCGTCGACGATACGTTGTCCCTGGCTGGAAAATCCGACGAACGTTTAAACGTCAGCGGAAAAGGGCATCCTGAAAGTGACGTCGCAGTAGAGACCATCGCAGACCGTTTCCATACGATTCGGTCGGACGATTAAATATCTATTCGCACTCGGACCGGGTAAGAAAAAAAGAGACGATGGAAGAGTCAAACTCTGAAAATGACTCCGGCCCGATCGGTATAACGGTCGCTTCCACGATCTCTTACGTCACTCTCAGGAATGGGTGAAGACAATATCAGGTCGTCATGAGATGTCGCGTTCGGATTGCCTGTCTCTGAATATTTTTTGCCTCTTCTCTGAAGCACGAGCCCGGCGAATACCTGCAATAGAGGTGAGCATTGTCGCCTTGGATTCATGAAGTCGATTGGGATGAACGGCCTCGAAGCGTCCTTGCACGTCCAGTTTTTGCTTGTTCGAGTTCGCCCTCACCAGCACGAATTCCCCTTTCCCGTTGAAAGTGTATTCCGTGTCGTCGAATGTGTGGAAGTGAGGGTCACCGTATACGGCAGCTAAGATCGAATCGATACCGCACTGCAAAATGAGATCGTTCGAATGGATTTCTGCACGAGGATGAAGCAGACAGACCCGTGCCGGGCGGTTGATACCCGACGCAATCCTGTGAAATCCTGCGTTCGAATCGAAACGAGGTGCACCCTTCGCTCTGTTCGTGTTGCCACATGCAGCAGAAGTAGAAGGGGATGATGTCGTGGTAATAGTGAGAGAGTGTCGGGACCTATCGAGCGATAAAGCAATTACTACCACCGAACCGAAAGGGGGTTTTTCAGCCTCCATCGGAAATATGGAACAAACGGCCTACCTTATTGGCTTCGTAGTAGGGGATCATGCCGAAATCGTGAGCCCTGTGGGGATTTCCACCCCATTGAGTGTCCGTGGTCATCATGAGGTATCCCTCTCGGTCGTAGCAGCACTGTTGGCCTGCTGCGTCCTTACTGCAATCAGTCACGAAATTAAGAGATTGAAAAAAAAAGGTTACAGGACATGGGATAGAAAGCGTATTTTCTCGCGAGTACATGACGGTATTTCCAGGTGAAAAAATGCCAAACCGAAAGATAAGTATTTCGGTATCTTGACGGTCAGAAATTTTTAAAAGCTCAACTTCGTTTACTTCGAAATTATTCTTCCCCGTTTTAAAGCATTGCGTAGGAATTCAAGAAGAGATGATGCTGACTTGGCCATTCCGGATCGAATGCAATGCTGAGCCCCCTGATGCCAGAGGCATTCCGTGTTTCCGTCCTTGTCGCATTCCAGATCAGGCGCGAAGTATCCTTTGGCGGCGACGGCCTGCTCGATCAAACAAGGGCATTTCGGGATTTCGTAGGTGAAGAGCTTCATGGCCCGATCCACCGAGATCCAATTGTTGCACAGGGCATTGGCCCAGTTGTCCCCGTACCGCCGCCTCCATTGCGGAGCGAAGTACCATCCCAGAGGGATGGGCTTGCTCCACAACACCCTGAACGGGAGGGAAGGAGTGCCGATTTAAAACTGCTGACAGCGGAATTTTAACCGGAGTCGTGGATGCGGCATCGCGGCCGAGAACGAGCCTACTTACGGGGTGTTCTTCAGCTTGAGCACGCTGAGCGGGTCCGTCAGGTTCACCTGGATCATCCCGAACGTGAAATCTGAAAGTTCCCGGTTATTCCGGCCGACGAAGTCTTGGGGGATGATCTTGTAATCCCCAGTGTTCGATGTACCTTCCTACACGGAAAACATCGTCGAGCGACTCCGATAAGATAGGCAACAGAGAGGGGGCGAATCGAGTCCCGCTCCCACGGAAAAAAATCCCGTACCTCGATCATATCGATCCAGTAGAGTTTCGGGTCGATGGTGTCCTCTTTGTATCCCCAGATGGAGATCTGAACCTTGGCACTTTCGTCCTTGGTCAAGTTGAATTTCGCCCATTGAATGTGAACCAGACCGGGGTTCTTACTCTGATATTCCAGGTTGGTAAACCAGATCCCCTCCGGCGCCAACATAGGTGTTTCTAAGCAAAATAAATAATAACCAATTAAGCGATCAATTGATGAGTGGAAATTCATGGAACGTGAATTCTTCGAGCGTTCAAATATAAAATTGAAAGAGCGAAAATGAATTAAATCGACCAATAAAGATAAAAATTCAAGTGCAGTACAATAAAATACAATAACGAGGAAACTTCACAAAGTTAAATGTGCCAGTCAAAATGACTGGATACGGATTCGAATCGAAATGAATGAAAATGTACATAGACTGAACTGATGCAGGCAGACATGAAACCTATTGATAGAAAAGAATAAAAACGATAAAATCCAAATTTGCAGTGCATGAGGAAACCGAAAATCTGAGAGAAAATATAGGAACGAGGCATTATGATGGAACCTTATCGGCAGGGACTTTCAGGCGAGGATCCTCTTATCTCGCTTTTATTTATTCGAAAGCAGCACCGTGCAGAGTACACATAGGCCTACGCTCTATCTACTCTCGACTCTGGACTGGGAAAATTTGTCCGTATCTCACCGACGAAGAATTTCCCCTTCCAATAGTAGGGACCTCCATCCTGGGAGACGGCGAAGTCGATGTAACCGGAGATGGACATCCTCGGCATGACGCAAGAGGCACGGTTGCTGTCCACGACGATCCCTTCCACGTCCCAGTCCTCGAAGCGGCACGTCACGCGTTGCCCCGGCGTGAAACACGGCCCGGTCACGTTCACCACGGTTCCTCCCAACATGTTTCCGTTTTCCGGTGCGAACACCAGCGGCAGGTTTGTCCCCTCTGCATGGAACGGGGCGAAAGAGGAATCGTGTGGGAATCCATCGTTTAGTGGAAGCCAAGGGGGGCAGGAGGGGAAAGGATAGGAGGCGACAAATGTCATACCCCTCTGTGGACTACATCGCAGGGACCCAGCTAAGTCTACATGCAACCTGGAAACGACATATTTTAATCTAAAAGAAAACAGTTCTTCATGCATTTAAAGTCGGACGCCTTTGCGAGTGATTCCGACACTTATGCACAGGTGGGACTCCTACGGCGGAATACTTCGGAAAAGAACTCGACGAGAAAGAGAAAAGCGGATCGTGGAACCTACGGGGATCGGGGTTGCAGGATCCAGGGTAGATCTTTTCGTCGACGCGGAACATGTGTCGTCCGGGTTTCCCGTTCGCGTTTCCGGTACTCGTCAGGTCCCGGATGGTCGTCAACTGAGAGAAGGGCTTGTACTCGAAGGCGCGACTCCCGTTTCCAGCGTTGAACCCGACCTGCCCAGGAGACCCGAAATCAGCACGATCCTTCCCTCATTCCCCCACGCCCGAGAGGAAAATCCTTACGTATGCGGGAGTTCCACCCTGTCCGTCGTCCGAGGAACCTCCGGCTCCCGTGTGAGTGGTCCAGCCCAGCCATTCGTAGTTGAACATGGCATACGTCATCACCTCGTCCGTTGTCACCACCAACTGGAACGTGTTCGTCTAGCAAGCGAAGAGAAAGCAAATACAAATAGAATACCTGCAACGAAATCAATTTATTTGACCGATACGAATACAGCCCAATGTGAGAGATTTCATCGATTTTCCTTTTTAAAATGATGGGAGGAATCTCAAATTTCATAACTTTTTAGGCGAGGAATTCGTTCCCCTTACGAAGTAGAATCGGTCACCGAACGATTCGACCGAGCGTTTTCAAAGATGATCCAATATCGTATCACCGTTCGGCTGAATTTCGAAGGGTACAGAGGATGGAATCTTCGAACGCGTGCGATTCCCCTGTGCGATTCCCCGAACGGAAGGAAGAGAGAGTGAAACGTAGGACTTACGACGTATAGAGCATTAGGCTTCTGTCCACCGTTGAAGGTGACGTTCTTCCAGGTGACGATGAAGGCGTGTTTGGGAGTGAAGATCTCGGAGCCGATCATCCCTTCTCGAATGTCCCAGCGGAGTCTCTCGCGGAGTTCCACGCCGAACTGGTCCTTTCTCGCCTGGAGATCCCGTTCCACGCGGAAGTAGACGCCGGGTTTCTTCAAGTTGGCCTCGTCGCCCCGGAGAAGGCCGATCCGGCATTCGGAGAAGAAGGGACCCATGAAGCTGGGGTCGTTGTCGTGCGGCCACGTCTCGGTGGGGAAGTGCAACGGGTAACTCCGGATCACCCGCAGGTTGTCCGAGAAGCCCACGTACCCGTTCAGAGAGATCTGTTCCGGTGGTTCGTGAACGAATACCTTCCGAGCTTTTCTTCCGGAAGACGGGCTCCCCAGAAAAAAGGCATTCGATACAACCCATCCTTTTCCCTTGCTCCGGTTACGCGCTACTTTCATTTACGCTTTCCTGCATCGGTGCGACTCGAAAACCAAACCAAACTGAACCAAACTAAACCAAACTAAACTAAACTAAACTAACAAGAGACTTCGCAACTCCATTTCAGAATGTCATATCAGGTTCAGATATAGGGCTCTATCCGAAAGTCCGGAGACAGGATTATTAACTCCCCGACCTTCCCCTCCCCCTCGAGACGATAAGCTCGGCTAAGCCCAGGTCGTTAAGATGTTGCGATACAGCCGAATTGAACACTTGCTTGGTGAATCTCGCATTTTGGCTAATATGTTACGTCAGTAACGCTGGAAAAGTCTCCTATCCAATTCATTTTTGAGTTAAACAAAATTAAATTTGACATTAAGAATAGCGATGTTCTGTGTCTTCTTTTCTGAAAATATGGAAGCTTCGGGTAGAGCCAAATCAGACAAAATTGGAAGGGAAGCAGCAGAATGAAAACAGTTGTCTAAATTGTTACGTCAGCAGCACGACATGAGTGGCCTTGAATGAGAAAATTTTGACCGGAAAAGGTGCAGGTATCTGTGCTCTATAAAGCACTGGTGAAATAGAATTTGTAGACCAAACCGTCTCTAAGATATAACATCATACACGATTTCATTTTAGTCTGGCGTTATGTCAGTAACTTTGGAACTGCCCACCTGCTGCCGCTCGGAAAGCAAATGAAAGCAGAAATTGCAGAAACGGTCGTAAGTTGCATGCGATGGGAAACCGTCTTTGCAATATGACTTCGTCACGACCGGACACGGAGCAAGGGAGGGAATAGAAGGGATATGAAAGATCCCGTATCGGAATACGGGTCCTTGCCTTCCGTCTCTTATCATTATTTAATTTCCTAGTCTTTTTTCTGGGAGCCTTTTGTGAGAGGTCGGAATTCCTACCCAGGTATAGTTGAATGCGAAGCCGAAGAAGGGAAGCAGGAAGTTGAGTTTCTTGTCTAGCAGGGAAGTACCGGAGTTGAAGTTGTCCTGGTAATCGTTCTCCCCCCAGAATTCGTCTTGTACCCCACCGTCGTAATAGGGGTACATGAGGGGTTCCCGGATCTGCGACAGCCTCTCCTGCGTGATGACGTAACTGTCGCCGTCGGGGTTGAAGTTAGACGGCGGCCCGATGCGGGAAAACATCGGATCTGCACGCCCCACGCGCAATAACAGGGCAGGAAAAATAAGAAAACGAACGATCGGATGACTACGACGAATCCGAAAATGCCAGAAACTTGTGCAAAATGCACTACAAAAAATAATGAAAGGGTCACCCCTGTTTCCGATAAATCTGGCCACCTCCTCGGTCGAAATGACTGCTACCCGTCTTAAGATGCAATTGCAATGAACCAATAAAATTGAAGTTAGTATGCAATTTAAGATGATGTGACGAATCGACGGAGATGAAGTTATGTGCACGGGAAGGGGATCGCGAACACTTGGAGACCTATACTCCTCATGGATGACCCAGATTGCCAAACATCATTGGGCCAACGATGGCATACCACCGGCAAAGTCTTTGGGTCCTCCTTGGTTGTCAACAATTGCCCAAGGCCGAAATGTCTTATTGGCCAGAGGAAGGCCAATTAATTCGACCAAGAATGGCGCAGTATTGGCAAAATCCTTAGGCCTTTGCCAACAATGGCCTAATATTGAAATGTCAAATCGGGCATAGTGCATTTGATGCGTACTTGAAGTGATAGTACGTATGAAGAGTTGATTCTTCCCCTGAATGTATCATATCGGGTCAAGTATCTCCTGATATGGCACTTTCAGATGTTCCTCCCTTTAAATTCTAGGGAGTGTCAGCGAATTCAACTCACATTTTCACTATTCATCCCTCCAAACATGGTAAAAAAAAAGGTAAAGTTCGCAAACACATCGTTTTAGGGCACCAATTGGAGAAATTGTAGCTCTTATAAGGAATCTTATATGAATCCGCTACCAAACAGCTTGTTTATTTCCTGGGCTCCATGAATCAGTCTCGAATATGGGGGTGATAAATGATGAAGTGACCACTTTGATTGATTCCTATTATGAGGCAAGGCAAAATGCATGGTGAAAAATGGCTGGCCATGAATGCCACGAATGGACCAAGCATTGCTGCTAATGCCGATGATATGCCGACGCTGCCATGCAAGGACCATTGCAAGGCCAAACTCTACTGGTAATCTGGGGAGTCTTGCTACTTACAAAGAGATTCTCGGCACGTTCGTGGGTGGAGAGATCTGAACTAGAGAGAAAGAAGGGATATCAGAGACGCGGGAGATGGGATTTCAGTCCCCCCCATGGTGACTGTCGCCCTCACCCTTGACCCTATTTTATTGTCAGTTACCATTCCAGTCCAGCAAAATTTCAGTTAATTCTCACCCCCACTCCATCACATAGACCAGGAGGGGAACGTAAGGGTCCCGGACCGATGACTCGAAACTTCTGTCACCGGATCCTTCCTCGTTTGAAAATTCTAGACGCATCATTGGGCACGGTGATCCATAGTAGTGATGGGGTCGTGCTACGGGATGATGTCGGGATCGATGGTCGCATGGTCCATCCTACATTCGAGAATGGTGGCGTAACGGGACAGAGGTACAGGAATGAGATGTTGGCATCATCGGCCGACCCTATGCAGGGGCTATCGGACCCGATTTCTTAATCCTGGTGATGCTCTCCGACACAGCGTCAAGTAGATGCAGTCTTGGAGATCGAACGCTTCGCATGTATGGTTACCAGGTACCTTGCCTGCAAGGTTACCAGGCCACAATCCCGTAGAAGATGCTTCGGATGCCCTCGGACGACTCGAAGCGAGTCGAAATCCATCATCACCCGACGTCATAAATCGTATACCACTGTCCTCATGGAAGAATAGGCTCGAATCCCCGAGGAACTCTTCAACACATCTATGAGGAGGTTACAAAATCGCTGTGAAGTCTTCATTTCTGTATCACCATGCCCAGGCTTTTGCAAGACGCGTTCAGGGTGGGAAATGATTATTCATATTGGTCATAAGGCACTCTATACATTTTGTATGGAATATGTAAGAAAAATAAACTGATCTGTATCTGAAAATCTCGTTGTTCAATTTATTGGTTCGTTTCGCTTTGACATGGCAAGCTGGCAAGCTATTATTTGACCAAAGAGGTGCTAGTGCATTGTAAATATGTGATCTTTTCGTTTTTTTAGCAGTGCATTTGCAAATGGACATAAATGTTGGAATGATATGGAACGAATGATTTCCGCTCGTGGAGAGGTTTTGCTTTTTGCGTACCTAACGGGCACCATCTCGTGAAAGTTTCATCTCTAAAGAGTGGGGAGGAAAAGAGGGAGGGCGAAAGTTGAGAATATACGCAGTATCGTGACGGTAGAGGAAACGACGCCATACTGTGGATCCTGATAAGAAAGGAGCTGGATCCATGACGTCACCTTTCTACGAGAAAGGAATTCGTCTACCGTCACACACGCCGGAAGTTGGAACATGACATCATCCTCATTCCTAGAATCTTCTACCTTGTCCTTCGATTCCTAGAATTTTCTACCTCGTCCTTCGATTGCATGAATCGAATAAGCACTGAGAATGGCTGTTACCCTCTATCAGAAACTGACTGAAGGTGAGAAAATGGAGTTATCGATGCGTAATTTTGCCACCTCCACGGACGATCGGAGTCAAGTTTCCTGTCGCGATTCGTCTCCACGCACAAAAATGAAAGCAAATTCGGGCATGTTTCACTTTTCTCAGAGCTTCACGGTGATGTTTCTCCTATTTTGTCGAACGCCTTGCTGTTGAAAAGTATGCACTCCCGCACCGAGTTTGGGTGGCTTTCGATCCCGTACCGTCACTCCTTTGCGATCTGGAATGGGAGAAAGTGGACTCACCGTAGTCTCTGGGATAACGAAAGTCGGTCCCCGACTTCGACGGCGACGAAGCCGAAGATTTCGGCGGGGGGCTTTCATTCGGGGGAGGAGGAGGAGGAGGAGGAGGTTGGGGATTGGAAGGACCAGAACCTCTGGCGAGAAGCGCATCTGCCTTTGGAAATTCTTCCACCGAAGGAAGAGGGGAGTCTTCTTTCTTCAATTCCTGTGTTCCCTCCTGGCCTGAGGCCAGGCCGATCAACAGGATCACCAGCACCAAACCGTTCATGTTCGTTAGAACACAGAAAGGCAGAAGAGTGAGAAAGCGACGTTGGTAGGTGGGGAAAGCGATAAGGGAGCCCAACGTTCCCATCTCCTCTTTTATCGAGACGAAGCAAACACTCCTCTTTGCGATAATCTCCACGGTAACAAAGGCACCTCGTACTTGACTCATATATTCTAGCATCCACTGCGTTTTATCACAAATCCAAAGTCCCAGCCTCGTATAATCATGGCTTCGGAATGTGGGCTTTCCGTACTTCCGGTCTTCTCGGTTGCACCACTTCTTAGGGAAAGACACCTTCCCATAAATATGGGAAGGTGTCTTTCATCATCGATTCACCTCCACCGCTTCACCTCCCACTCCCATCCCCACCCCCATCCCAACTCCCACCCCTCGATCCATTCCATCCGAGGAAGGAAAGTCACGGAATCTTTGAACGATGTTTCTATGTCGATGAAGAGACGTGTCGTTGGGCCTTATGTGAGAACCACAGAGCAGAGAAAGCAAGTTCTCTTCCTTCTCGTCTTCAGCCATTTCGCTCCACTCGACGAAGATGGGTCATTCTTCTCGCCTTGGCAAAAGATTACGACGGATACGGAAATCTCGTCAATGGACCTCGAAAAGGAGACATTCTCAAGCCATCCAAATTTGGAGAGAAATTTTGATGGTTACGAAATGACGCGGAAGATATTTCGTATGATATTTAGTAGATACGGTCTTTCGACTCTCTACACCTGTCCACGGCGTATCTTGAAAAGGGAGAGCGCCTGCCACTAGTAAGCGCTGAGATCTTTCGGTTCCCTCGGCCGTAGCAGGGCCTATAGATAAGCGCTCGACGCTGGTCGTTCAACTCCGTTGTAACAAAGTGGCTTTACTAGTGAGGACCGAGATACACCAGTCTCTTGGTCCTGACTTGTATCGTTAGATCTATCTATAACTTGAACGCAGACAGAATGTAAGAAGAACCTCATATCCTTTTTAAGCTCCCACAAAAAAAAGGTTTTTAAATATTGGCGAATAGAAGGTTAATGCAGAAACTGGAACTGACTCAGTGGAGGTGAAATAAAACCATGGAGAAAACCTACTCTATCTCGTTTCTCGAAGTTCCAAGTAGTGAGCACTTGAATCCTATTATTCCTATTCCGCTATTATTATCCTTGCAAAAGCAGGAGCTTCCGATTTTTCTTCCCATTCAATAAATTTCTGACTTTAGCGGAAAATTTTTAAAATGAATATTTAAACAGACATCCTCTTGAATTATACACCCGAAAGCCAAAATAATGAAGGGAGGTTGGTATTCCCATGCCCCCAGGTTATTCTGTTGTGGACACCCATTAAACGAAAACGTGAAAGATAAAAGAAGATGGACGAAAGAGTATTCGGAATGGACTTTCTAGAGAACTCTCAAGGATGATGAAAGACTCCCCTGGAAATATCCCTTATAAATCTCAGCGAAACTAAGCCATCGATGAGGTCAGCATCTTTATCAGAATTTATCGCGAAGAAGTACGTTCTTGTGGAAGAAGTGTGATTTACCTATGCATTTATCAGGCTGTTGACAAATTGGAGAAAGCATTTAAGAAAAGGGAGCGAGATATTTACCCAGTTTCCATCCCCTTCGTGAAATTGCAGTTTTCCAATACTTTCCTTAAAAGCTGCATATCACTACTTTGTGATTTTCCTCTTATGGCTCCTCCCTATCTACAGCGTGGACCAGATAGAAGGAGACATCAATTTCATTGCGAGTAAACAACATGGAGCAATGGCGTATTTTGCTGGGGGGCAAGGGGGCGGCCGCCACCTTGACGCCCCTGGGACAGAGCTTCGCTCCCCTTTGGAGGTAGTCATTTTCCTCGCTTGTGTGGGGTTTTGGTGACCCCATTATGCTGCCCTGGCCCTCCTGACTCTTCAACCAAAATACGCCACTGACATGGAATCATTACGAACATGAAGACGCACTTTTCGTGGCTCACTCGACAAAATAGTCGTTGAATGAGCTCCCCATTTTTTGCCCATTACACCCTATAAACGTGAACAGCATTGATGAAATACTTCTACCAAAAACCTGCGATGCTTTCCCACTCGTGGCATAGGCGCCGAACCCAGGGGGGCAATGGGGCGCATGCCCCCCCAACATTATTTTTGGGGGGGCAATGCCCCCCCAAGATTGGCCAATATACTTCTCGAGTATGACTCTTCGAACATACAGTACACAGTAATGCCCCCTCTTTTAATTTATTTTACTTTTTTTTCCCACCAAGGGTGGTATGAATCATCTCTTCTCCGGCTTGGTTGCATCTCTGCGAGGAGGTCAAAGGGAGTTGGGAGAGAGGGGGGGGGGGGATAGCCTGTATCGGACAGGTTGCTGCACGTGATTCTCCTGAGGCGCATGCGTTTCATCCAGGAGAGGGGAGAGAAGTCAGCGCTCTCTCCTTCCTTCCCTCACGCGTCGTGTCTTACCCGTTCTTATTTAATCATTCTCCCTGGAGAAATGATTTCAGTGCACCATTTTGAACAAGTTCAAGTTTCCGATGGATCGCTTCGTGACTCGAAAATCCCGAGGATCTACGTCACAGCATGAAAGCGAAGGAGGGAATGAAGAGGGCAAGAAGAAAGGAAGCGAGCTCGAACTTGACATTGCCACCGATTCCCGTTCTGCACAGGGAAGGTTCGAAGGAGCATCAACAGTTAGGAAGTTTCGTGAAGAATGGAGAAGTCAGTATCCTTGGTTGATTTATGATGCAGAAAAGGG